CATCTCTCCTCTCCTCCTTATTTTATATTTCCTTCTCTCCTCTCCTTCTTGTTTTATATTTCTTTCTCTCTCCTCTCCTCCTTCCCTCTTGTTTTATATTTCCTTCTCCTCCCCTCCTTTTATCTCCCTCTCCTTTCTCCCTCTTTTATCTTCCCTCCCCTTCCTTTCATATCCATTCCTCCCCTCCCCTTCCGACACAGGTTTGGGGGATCAGCTGTGAGGACCGAGCAATCTACTTCCGTCAAGGCGTCACACCAAGCGAGCTGAGCGGGAAAATGTGGAAAGCCATCGCCTGCAACCGAGAGAGCGACCGATCTCAAACCGGCAGCTCTACCAGCCTCCTTAGGTAAGTAACCGTTATCCAAAGCGGAGTACAAAACACCCAATGTTACGACCTTTCTTTTTTTTTCTTTTCTTTTTTTCTTTGTTGTCATGGTGGTTCAGCAAAGTACTGCAGTTATTAAGTGAATTGCAGTCGTTAGGCAAATCCAGCCCTCTCTAAGCAGTTTACAGAGTCAGCCTCTTGCCCCCCAACAATCTGGCTCCTCATTTTACCCATCTTGGAAGGACGGAAGGCTGAGTCAACCTTGAGCCTGGTGAGATTTGAACTGCCAAATTGCAGGCAAGCCGGCAGTCAGCAGAAGTTGCCTGCAGTACCACACTCTCACCACTGCACCAGCGAGGCTCATAATGGAGGGAGTAAGATCTGTTTTTCCCTCTTGCATCTCCAGTGCTGGATGCTTCTTTACGGACGACATCAAAGAACAAAACGCCTCCGTCTTTCAGAGTGATGGAGAGTCAGAATCCCATCTGAACGATGCTCCTCTTCCTGGACTGGATCCAGAGACCCTTGACAGTCCCCATCCGGTCCCGGAGCTGGATATGGACCCATTAGCCACCGTTCTGGAGGAAGCCGCTGCCGGGTCAGATAGAGACCACCAAGCTGGTCCAGATAAGCCTCCCTCCAATCTGGACTCGCTTCCTCCCAAGCCTCAGTGGACCAACATCGACCTGAAAGAAGCCAGCAGGATGTCCAAAGCGACTGTGCTCCAAGACAAGACCCCCAGTCTGTCTTCCTTCTTACCGGCTGCGGTTGAAGACCATTTTGCGACCGACGATCTCCCCCTCTGGATTTGGGTCTCCAGCAGAGGCTGCCTTGTGGATTCCCAGAGCCCGCTGAAATGGTTCACGGCTCAGTCAGGTGGGTGGTGTAGCTGTTGTGGTTAGCCGGCAGCAGGTGAGGACGGTGGAGGAGAGCGAGGACTCGGATGAGGGGCCGGGACCATCAGGGAGCTGGCAGCAGCGATGAGGAGGTTCCCGAGGAGCCTGTGCCAAGTGCTTGTGAGCGCAGGATGATTCGTAGAAGAGAATAGCTGGAGCAGCACAGGCGACTCGGGAATAAGGATACAATGTAACAGCCTCTCCCTCTAGGGAATATAAGCCTGGTTTCAAAAGGTTTTTACCTTTGCAAAAGACAAAAACGTTGGAAGGACTCAGCTTTGTGATTAGAGACCAAGGTTTATCTGAATAATTCTGTCAAGGTTTTTCTAATTAGACTAATTGGCTACAAGTCATCTTTTATCTACAAAGAAGTTTATTTGTAGATTAAAGATGTGACAGTTTGAGTTACTGTGTTTGCTCAGAACAGTAGCCGTAGCCATTAGACTTCGTAGTGCTTTTACAGCCCTAAGTGGTTTAAAGAGTCAGCCTATTGACACCCCCAATAATCCGGGTCCTCGTTTCGCTGACCTCGGAAGGATGGAAGGCTGAGTGAATCTCGAGCTGGTCAGGATCGAACTCTTGACAGTGGGTAGAATTAGTCTGCAGTTCTGCATTAAAAGGGACGCGGTAGCTCAGTGGCCAAGATGCTGAGCTTGTCGATCAGAAAGGTCGGCAGTTCGGCAGTTCGAATCCCTAGCGCCACGTAACGGAGCGAGCTCCTGTTATTTGTTCCAGTTTCTGCCAACCTAGCAGTTCGAAAACATGTCAAAAATGCAAGTAGGAAAATAGGGACTCCTTTGGTGGGAAGGGAACAGCGTTCCTCCAGGCGCCTTCGGCGTTTACCCATGCCGGCCACATGACCACGGAGACGTCTTCGGACAGCGCTGGCTCTTCTTTGGTTTTGTAATGGAGATGAGCACTGGCGCCCCCTAGAGCTGGAAACGACTAGCACGGATGTGCAAGGGGAACTTTGACCTTTACTTACTGCATTCTAACCACTGCACCATGGATGGATGGATGGATGGATGGATGGATGCATGGATGGAAGGAAGGAAGGAAGGAGGAAAGGAAGAGCAATAGACATATACAGTTTTACAGTTTTACAGCCTTCTCTAAGAGGTTTATAGTGTCAGCCTTTTGCCCCCAACGTTCTCGCTTTACTGACCTCGGAAGCACAGAAGGCTGAGTCAACCTTGAGCCAGTCAGGATCAAACTCCTGGCAGCGAGCAGAGTCAGCCTGCAATACTGCATTCTAACCACTAATGTAATTGTAATGTACCCGTCGTAAATCAATTTTTTCCAGGACCTTCGTAAATGGTTGAAAGTTGAGAACTATTTTATTTTTATTTATTTATTTGCTTGTTTTTTTAAAATCCTTGTTACCCTCTGCCACTCAAGAATTGTTTGGAGTGGAGCAGGATAGAAATGCCAACAATGCTTTAAAAACTGTGTTGAAGGGAAGAATTGAAAGGAAGTGCTTGATGGGGAATTCTCTCTTTTTTTATATAGCTTTAACCTCCTGCGCTCATTCCTTGGCACTTTCCATCAGCCCCAGCCATACCGCCCAATGGAGGAAGCAGATCGTTCGCCAGCTGTCGGAAAGGACCCACCGAGAGTTGGACAACTTCAGACATTATGAACAAGCGGTGGAGCAAGTAAAGTGGGGAAAGGGGAGAGCGGGTGATGGGGTTTTGTGGTGATTCTACTGTCAAAATGTTGGAACCAAAAAGTCTTCAAAGGAGAGAATCAGATTTGGGCTCGTGGTTAAGGCACCAAGCTAGAAACTGGGAGATGGTGAGTTCTAGTCTTAGTTTAGGCATGAAAGCCAGCTGGAGGACTTTGGGCCAATCGCTAGGAG